TCTCGGCCTACTGAGCGGCGAGCTTCTCAAAATCAATCGAAGACCGATGAACGGTTTAGGGGGCCGAGGTATGCGTACTACAACCTTTTGAACGCCCCTCAACAAGAAATTTTTGAAGTCATGGGACAGAGGGGGGAAACCAAGTTGCTGGCAGCACCATGCCTTTGCCTCCACCGCCGAAGTTGTCAGCAGGAAGAGATAAGTATTGCCGGTATTATCGCGATTATGGTCATTCCACTAATCTTTGCCGAGAGCTGAAGGATAAAATTGAATGTCTAATACGAGCTGGGCATTTGAAAGAATTCGTGATAAGGTACAGAGAGCGTAAGGAAGAACGCTTGGATGGACGCGACACAGGAGACAAGCGAAAGAGGGTAGATGAACAGCTGGACAAGCCCGTGAAGAAGGGAATGATCCATATGATAGCAGGGGGCCCCACTGATGGGGATTCCTACCGAGAACGCAAGCGGACGTCTAGAGAGAAGGCCACCGGTGATGTGGCCCGAGGTTAAGGTGCAAGAAAGCTCGACCGTCTTGAGTTTTGGGGCGCAGGATGTACGGGGAACGTCATCCCGCATAATGACACCCTCGTAATCACGGCTGAGGTGGCCAGTTATGATGTTCAAAGGGTTCTAATTGATACAGAGAGCTCGGCGGATATCGTTTTTTGGAGTTGTCTGCAGCAGATGGAGCTGGAGGTATAGATGGAACCAGTACATACGAGCCTGCACGGTTTCAGTGGGAGCGAGGTATGACCCACGGGGGAAGTAAGCTTAACGGTGGCGTTGGGGAGAGCCCACGTAAGATGGGTAAAAATGGTTAGATTTCTTGTGGTTGATGCAAGCTCGGCCTATAATATCATTTTAGGTCGGCCTAGTCTAAACTCTTTCCAAGTAGCCGTTTCTACTTGGTGCATGAAAGTGAAGTTCCCCGTCAGAAATGAAGTGGGTGAGGTTACTGGAGATCAGCTACACGCTCGACGGTGCTACGAGGTAACATTGAGAGCAGCAGAGGCCCAAAACAAGAAGCAAAAAACACGACGCCCCGGAGTCACCACAACAGAGTAAAAGGCAAGAACTGGGGCTAGGTTCCCAGGATGAGTTGATGGAAGTCGAGTTAATTGAGAGAAAAGCAGACAAAACCATTAAGATAGGGTGCCATATAGATGAATATGTAGCCCAAGCCTTGATACTTCTACTGCGGGAGTTTGTTGATGTCTTTGCTTTCTCGACAGACGACATCCAGGGAATAAGCCCCGAAATAATGGAGCATCGATTGAACATAGACCCGATAGTGCGGCTAGTAAAACAAAAGAGACGACACTTCGGCGCCGAGCTGGATGAGGTGATAGAAGTCGAGGTGCAGAAATTATTAAAGGCCGGTCATATACAGCCTATTGTTTAATATAGATTTGATGGGCAAGGAATAATCGAGCTACCCGACTCGGGTCGATCTCGAAGGAAGGCTATTTGGAGCTTTGTCTACTAAATGATCGTCCAAATCACAAAAATCGAAAATAAAATCCTAAACATTCTAAACAATTGATTGGATGGTTGATTAACCCTACTTGAGCACTTAAAAACGAGCAATTAATTGAAAGCAAGATCAAAAGACGAGCATTTCGCAAACTAGATCACCGGAGTCTCATGCCATAACCAATGCGGGATGATAATCAATCGACATACGGAATAAACTAGCTACGAGCATTAGATTGCTAATTCTAGTCGTCTAACCGAGATCAACAAGTAATTAACGGCTCTATCTACTCAAGCAAGCAATCAAGTTCAAGCATTTCGAACATCATCAATCAAATCCAATTTACTCTAATAAGCATTATAAGTAAAACCGGAGCAAAAACGAAGTAAATAGCTTTAAAACTAAATACTCAATCTCCCATTGCGTAAAGGATGAAAAACGAAGTCAAAAGCTCGAAACTTGAACGAAACCGAAGTCGCCGGAAAA